TATATGACGTATATATAATAAACATTGAGAACAAGATATGTAAATACAGCAGTACTCAAAAATATTTAGATGTAGCAGTTGGTATAAATTAATATGTTATTAATTCACTATCAATTGAACAAAAGGAATCCTATGTTCTTCCTAGATTGTAATGTTTTTAAGAAATAATGGAACTGGGATCACATGACATAATGGTTTCATCACTGAACTCACGTGGTCGACTGAAGTTCGCATTCTGGACCTAATGGCTTGAAACTCATGCCATGTGCATATGCGCCTAACTCCTGAGAGAAGAATGGAGGAGAAGGGATTGCAGCGTGGCCAGCCCTCCTGGGGGATGATTTCTTGCCTTCTGTCTCTCTGTCTCTCTCTGTCTCTCCAGTGAGCACATATGCCCCACAGCAAAAAAAAAAAAAGATGTCCTAAAAAATAATGGAATTAATCAAGGTGGAGCTAGAGAATAACCAGAATGATTAAATAAATGGGTGGGGCTATGTTTTAAAACCTGGGTTAATCATATAAAACCCGACCTTCATGATGACATTTGTCTCTTTGACCCACACTTGGCCACCAACAATTGCTTACGACATGGCCCAGAACAACTCTTCGAAGCGTAAGTTCTCACTACATTTGACTGAGCTTTTTGTTGGCTTGGGGCTGAAAATCTTGTGAGCATATGAGAAGTGGTGGAAGTTGCATTTCTTAAACTTTTAAATTGTGCCAGGATAAAGGAAAGCCAGTTTTTCTGATGTGAAGTTTTGTGTTCATTTGACAAGACAAGTTTTTCTTCAGAAAGGAAGAGAGGAGGAAGAAGCAGATGGAAATAGGAGAGGGAGAGAGACCCACTGAAAGGCAGTGTGGGTGGAATCCAAAGTTCAGCAATTATTGTTTTGGAATTGAAGCAGTTTCCACATTTCTCTCTCTAGACTGAAATTTCCTCCTGAATTTGGAACTTGCCTATTTCACTGCCTACTTGTCTTTTTTTTGGGGTGGGGGGTTGGAGATTTTCACTATAGGGCGTGTGCGCTCGCCAGACAGACAGAGAGAGACATAGAGACAGAAAGCGAGAAATCACCCCCCAGGGGAGATGGTCACGCCACAATCCCTTCTCCTCCATTCTCCTCTCGGAATCTTGGGCACGCACGCACATGCGCGTGGTGTGAGTTTTAAGCCACCAGGTCTGGGATGCGAACCGCGGTTGACTACGTGGGAGTTCAGCGACATAGCCATTACGCTAACTGCTGGTTCCCACTGCCTACTTGTCTTGTATGAGCATCTATGCCTCAGCGTATCCCAAAACAAACTCCTGGCACACCCACACTATTCCTGTCACTGTTTTTTTCTCTAGCTCAAGCCTACCACCTGGAAAAAACCTTTGACTCCATATTTTTCCCCCTAACATCCATCTGATCAGGCTGGAAATTCTGTTGGCTTTACCTCCATGTATTCCAGGACTGTTTCTCGGTCTGTCCTGGCCACCATCAGGCTGGATTATTGCTGTATCCTCCTAACTGATCCCTTTGCTTCCACCCTGCCTGTGCCCCAGTCCATGCTCAGCACAGGGATGTTACTAGTTTGTATTAGATGATGTCATTTACCTCAGTGATGTCCCACAGGACTCAGAGTAAAAGGCACATGGCCCCATGTGCCCAGTGCCATCTGGCCCCCTGAAAAGTGTGTGATCTCTTCTGCGTCCCCTCGTTCCCTTTTCTGTGGACTTTCTGGCCTCCTTATCTTTATCTTGCCATAGGCCAGGCAGCCCTGCACTCAGGACCGTTTTACTACCCCAAAATACACTGTGCTTCCTAAATGCCAGCATTGCTCACTTCAAGGCTTCGTCCATGTCATTTTCTCAGGGAGCCTTTCCCTAAGTACTGCTCTTAGAAGTTGTGACTTCTCAGGGCCAGCAGGTCGCATAGTGCTTATACTGTTGGACTCCCACACGGCTGACCACAGTTCAAGTCCTGGATACAGTGGCTTGAAAATCACGTCAGGCACGTGTGCATGCATGTCCAAGATACTGGGAGGAGGATGGAGAAGGGATTATGACATGGCCATCCCCCCTGAGGGGTGATTTCTCACGTTCCCTCTCACTGTCTCTGTATCTCTCTCTGAAGAACACATGTGCCTTAAGGCAAAATCTCTAAAAAAAAATTGTGACCTCACCCTCTGCACACTCTCCTTCCTGTTTTATTTTTCTTTCCATGTAAATAGGAGAGGGCATCAGAAAGTTTGTGTGAATATGGAATTACAGCATGTGTTTATACCATCCTGCAGCCTAGAGGTTAAAGGAGAATCCCACATGGCCATCTGCAATTCGAATCCTGGCTCTGGTGGCTTGGAATACACCTGGTGCATGTGCATGTATACCTCTACCTCAAAAAATATATGAGTTTATTTTGGTACCAAAAAGAAAATTGAAATCCGGGACCAGAAGTTGCATAATGGCTATGTCTCTGGACTCCCTTGTGGCCGCAGTTCGAGTCCCGGACCCAGTCTATTCTCCTCTCAGGATCATGGGCACGTACGCACAAGCGCCTGGCATGAGTTTGAGCCACCGGGCCCAGGACTCGAACCATGGTTGATTTACATGGGAGTTCAGCGACATAGCCATTACGCTAACTACTGGTCCCATAGCGATAGACATTTAAGTTACTTCAACTGTTTGCTATTAAAAACAGCATTCTCCTAAATCTATCATAAAGATCTGTGCGAGAAATGGACTGCAGAATTGTAGTTCCTTACTTTACATATTTCATTGTGCATGGCCAGGTCCCCTCCCAGTGGATCTAGACTAAATTATGCTCCAACAAGCTCTGCTTTCACCATATAATGTCACATCTTACTGCCTACCCACCATCTGTCCCCTCTCCCATATACATACACACACACACACATTAAAATTTTACTATTATTGGGACCAGCCGTTAGCGTAATGACTATGTCGCTGGACTCCCACGTAGTCGACTACAGGTCGAGTCCTGGACATGGGGACTTAAACTCACGCTGGGCGCGTGTGCGTGCGTGCCCAAGATCCCAAGAGGAGAATGGAGGAGAAGGGATTGCAGCGTGGCCATCCCCCCTGGGGGGTGATGTCTCTCTTTCTGTCTCTCTCTTTCTCTCTGTCTGTCTGGCAAGTGCATGTGCCCTATGGCAAAAAAAAAAAAAAACTCTCAAAAAAAATTTTTTTATAGGGCACATGGTCTCACCAGAGAGAGGAAAAGTGCGAAAGCAGGCCTCTAGATCTGGGACTCAAACTGTGGTCAGCCGTGTGGGAGTCCAGTGCCTTAACTACCAAGCTACCTGTTGGCCTGCCCATGTATATTTTAGATAGCTTTCAAGTTATCCTCAAAATCCTATTGAGTTATTTTCCAAAGACCATAACCTCAGTCTAATCATGAAGAAAACAGATTAATCTTAATTGAGACTACAAAATACCTGACCAGCATTCCTCAAAACTGTCAAGGTTATCAAAAACAAAGTCTAAGACACCATTAGATCCAAAATGAGCCTAAGGAGACATAATGACTAAATGTAATATGGTGTCCCAGATGAGAGTTCAGACAGAAAAAAGATGTTAGGTAAAAACTAAAGAAAATTCTGGATAAAAGTATGAACTTGAGTTCTTAGTAATGAATGTATCAATATTGATTTATTGATTCATTTGTTTTGACAAGTATATATACCAATATAAAATGTATATGGAAGCTGGTGATATCCTGTACCAAGCACTGGCACATGAGGCTTTGGCCTGGAATGCATGGTTGTGTTTTCACAGTGACCTGATATCAAAGCCAGTGACTCTAGGTTTTCCACTTACCAGAACCGCACATGAGTCCCTTTTTGAAGAAATGTAAGAAAAAGAAAAGGAATCATTCTCAAGAAATGCAACTAATGGTCACAGCTTGAATCCCTGGAGTGCGATTGAGTGTCAGGCCCGTTTCAGACACTGTTTATTCTCCACTCAAGTAATGTGGTGTCTTTTCCTATTTGAAGAGTCTATTGAAAGTATGAAATTCCTTTTGATTAATTTTGTTCTCCCTGTCATGTTTAAAAATGTATCGGAAGGAGTTGTATCATAGCACAGTGGTAAAATGCCATGTTCTGCTAAGCTGACTCTCTTGGGAAGGTTTCAGATTCATGTCCAGAGACCTCCCTGAGAATACTATGTGTGTGGCTGCCTGCAATCCAGGGATGGCTGAAGCTGCGGGTGGATTGCAGTGTCAAGATACTGTTAGGGTACTGTCTCTCACTATGGAGGAAATAAATGAAAAAAAAATACTACACTGTTTTAGCTATTCTGTTATTGAGATCAGTGGGCCGAAATTAAATGAACATGTACCAAGAAATTTTGACTATAAAAACAGAAAGAGGCTTAACGGTGCCTGTGCCACAAACTCTTTATGTTTATGGGTTCAGGTATTCTTTGCCGTAATGACATATTACATGTATTTTTTAAAAGTTTATTGCCAGAATGCACACGTACTTACCAGAGAGACGGAAAGAGGGAGGAGGAGAAAGCGTCCCCAGTGGATCATGGCCATGCCACAGACCCTTTCTCTCCGGTCTCTACCCTGTGGAGATTTGGGGCCCATGAGCATGGCTACGTAGTGTGTTTTTTAAACCAGCAGGGCTGAGATACAAACTGTAGTTGGCCATGTGGGATCCTGGCTCCCTTAGCCACTAGATTATGGGGCTTGCCTTCCCTCACAGGCATTTTTAAAATTCATAATTGTTCCTGGTCCATACGAACTCATCAGTTTTCCATGGTTTTTGTAAAAAGGATTCTTACTCCAAAGTCATGGTCTTCAGGTCAGCTGGAGGAATAGAGAAAACAACCTTGGGTGTTCAAGGGCTCTGTAATTGGATGAGGGCATTTCTTCTCTGGAAGGTGCTGGTGGATTCCTACTGAAAAGAGGAAGTGAGAGACTAGCTTCAACTTGAAGTTTAGATATATAAGCTAACCTATTAGTGCTTCTTCTCTCCTAATCTTTCTGAAGAGATGGTAGTGACACATCATCGGCGCAGTCGCACCAGATTCACAGAAGATCAGTTGAAAGTCCTCATCAACACCTTTAACCAGAAGCCTTACCCTGGTTATGTGACCAAAAGAGAACTTGCTATAGAAACCAACACTGAAGAGTCAAGAATTCAGGTAAGTTACAACTTCTATATCTCCAAGACTAGAAATAGAAAGGAGAGAAAATGTTAAATGAGCATGTGCTTCCCACTGTGCTAAGGACTTTGTGTGGAGTATCTGGACTGATACACAGAGTAAACTCACGAAGATACTGCTCCTATCTCACTGTACAGATTGAGATACGGAAGATGAGCACTCACAAGGGTAGGGAACAGGGTGTAGGTGTGAAGACGTCAAAAATTTTGATATAAAACGTAATTAAATATGAGTTCATTTTTGGAGAAAAAATAAAATCCAAATAGTCTTTCCATAATAGTCTTTTCCCATGAAGACTCCTTGTATATTTTCAGAGACTAGGAAATACTTAAAAGCTTGTTTTTTATTGGTGTTGTTTTGTTTTGTTTTTGCTATAGGCTGCATGTGTTTCCTGGGGACGGGGGCGGGGGAGATGGAAAGAGAGAAAACACTCCCCCAGAGAGATGGCATGCTGCAATCTCCTCATCCATTCTCTTGGGACTTGGGGCATGCATGCACTTGTGTCTAGTATATTTTCCAAGCTGCTGGGTCCAGGACTGGAACTGTGCAGTTGGCCATGTGGGATCCAGCTGCCTAAATCACCATGCCACTTGGCTGGCCCTTAAATTTGTTTCTAAATGCATAGTAATTGCAGCAAGCTTTTTTACCAATTTAAGAAATAATATGAAGAGGGAACCAGCAGTTAGCGTAATGGCTATGTCGCTGGACTCCCACGTAGTCGACCGCGATTCGCGTCCCGACCCGGTGGCTTAAAACTCACTCCAGGTGCGTGTGTGTGCGTGCCCAAGATCCCGAGAGGAGAATGGAGAAGAAGGGATTGCGGCGTGACCACCCCTGGGGGGTGATTTCTCGCTTTCTGTCTCTAATGTCTCTCTCTCTCTGTCTGGCGAGCGCACGCGCCCTATAGCGAAAATCTCTCAAAAAAAAAAAAAAAGAAAAGAAAAGAAATAATATGAAGAGTAAATCACATTAGAACTAGATTGTGAAGATGCTTAGTGCCACGTCTTGATCAAAGACTTGGTAGGATGTGACAGGAGTCAGGAATAATTTTGGGCTTTAGCATAAAATGAATCACTCACTTTACAGAAAAGCAGTGATGGGGCTGAGATGAAATTAACATATTTAATTCTCACGTAGATTTGGTTTCAGAATCGAAGAGCTAGGCATCTACTCAAGAAGCAGCCAGACCGGGAGAAGGCTTTAGAATCAAGTGAAGTCCCTGGGCAACATCACCCTGCACAGCAGATTCGAGGTAAGCTCTGGTTCTGGTCCGGGTCTGACTGCCTCTCTACAGAAGGGCCAGTCACTGCTGGTAGCAGGAAGAACTTTTTCTCTCCTCTCTGCCTTCTATTTAGAGTCTTCTGTTGGCAAAGGGGTCAACATGGCCCCAGGAGTTCTTCTCTGACCTGTCCATGGACTCTGAGTTTTCACCTCCTTACCTTCTTCCATTGGATCCTGAAAGCCTGGATATAGAATCCTGGGTCTCCTCTAGAAACTTCTGTGTAGAATGTGCTGGGTCAAGGTCTAGGGTAAGAGGACAGGTTCCCAATTAAACGGCGATGAACAGATAATTTTGGACTCCTTATTTGAATACAATCATCCCCCTTATTGAGAGGGACATGTTTCAAGACTCCCTGCAGGGACATGGAGTTGAGAATAGCACTGAACCATATATCAATATATATTTTGTTTTTTATCTGATAACCAAGATGGTACTAAGTGACTAATGGTTGGGTAGGGTATACAGTGTGAACACACTGGACAAAGGAATGATTCATGTCCCAGGCAGAGGGAATGGAATGGCATGAAATTTTATCACACTACTCAGAATGGTGGACAATATAAAACTTATAAATGGTTTATTTTTGGAATTTTCTATTTAATGCTTTTTTTTAAAAAGAGATTTTTGCTATAGGATGCATGCACTCATTGGAGAGACAGAGACAGCAAGAAATCACCCCTGGGGGGATGGCCACATCATAGTCCCTTCTCCTCCATTCTCCTCACGGGATTTTGGGCACACAGACATATGCATCTTACATGAGTTTTAAGCTGCTGGGCGGATCTGGGACTCTAACCATGGTCAACTATGTGGGAGTCCAGTGATGTAACTATTACGTGTAGAATGTGCTGGGTCAAGGTCTAGGGTAAGAGGACAGGTTCCCAATTAAACGGCGATGAACAGATAATTTTGGACTCCTTATTTGAATACAATCATCCCCCTTATTGAGAGGGACATGTTTCAAGACTCCCTGCAGGGACATGGAGTTGAGAATAGCACTGAACCATATATCAATATATATTATGTTTTTTATCTGATAACCAAGATGGTACTAAGTGACTAATGGTTGGGTAGGGTATACAGTGTGAACACACTGGACAAAGGAATGATTCATGTCCCAGGCAGAGGGAATGGAATGGCATGAAATTTTATCACACTACTCAGAATGGTGGACAATATAAAACTTATAAATGGTTTATTTTTGGAATTTTCTATTTAATGCTTTTTTTTAAAAAGAGATTTTTGCTATAGGATGCATGCACTCATTGGAGAGACAGAGACAGCAAGAAATCACCCCTGGGGGGATGGCCACATCATAGTCCCTTCTCCTCCATTCTCCTCACGGGATTTTGGGCACACAGACATATGCATCTTACATGAGTTTTAAGCTGCTGGGCGGATCTGGGACTCTAACCATGGTCAACTATGTGGGAGTCCAGTGATGTAACTATTACACCATCCACTGGCCCCTCTATTTAATACTTTTAGAACATGGTTGGCAGAAGTAACTGAAACCACAGAAAACGAATCAAGGGATTAGGGGATATTACTGTATCAGGCCATTCAACCCCAAAAAGTTTTAGTGAAGATTCTCTAATGAGACTGTGCCAAAAGTAGAAATTAATGGCAAATTTAAAAACCTGGACTATGTGAACACAAAGGTAGAACGTTATCTGTCAATGTGTATGGTAAAATCTTCGACTGAACCAAATACAGTGTATCCACGATGGGAAAATTCATTTGGTACACGGTGATGATATACAGTGATTGAAGGTAAAAAAAAATTAAATAAATGAATCTATGGACTGTCTACTCCCCCCAAATTGAAAGACAGATGTACTGAAAACTTTGATCAAACACCTAAATGAATAACTGGAAAATGAAGTGCATACAAATACTGTTTTTTAAACCTTCTATGTACTGTTACTCAGGAAGCTACTGGCGAAGGTACCCACAACATGAGATTAAAAAAAAAAAAAAAAAACAAGAAAGAGGAGTCCAGAAAATGGGGACTCCAATACTGACAGGCATAGGGGTGACCCCAGGGTATCAACTGTATAGATCTTGATAGCATGGTCTTCAGGTACTTGGAGGCTCCAAGAGAAATGGCTCCTGGAAGACAGAAAGAGTAGAATGAATTTTGAGGGATAACTACTGCATGTAAACTGATCCCTGCAATGTCCCTTGATCCTCCATCTTATGTCTTCACTAGGTAATGAAGACAGACGGCATCGTACCAGCTATAGCTTCTCTCAGTTAGAAACTCTCAACAAGGCATTTATGAACAACCCTTACCCTGGGATTGATTCCAGAGAACAACTTGCCAAGGAAATTGGGGTTCCAGAGTCAAGAGTTCAAGTAAGTGATAAGGATTTTGACCACCTATCTCCTAGGCATGGAGACATCTAGAAGGGAAGCCACTCTGGTCATGGGCTTTTCCTCAACACACCAGGGACATTTATACTTCACTCCTGTTTTCTGCTTTGTAGGTTCTGTTCCCATATGCCCACATGACTCTCTCTCATTTCCTCCTAGTATCTTCTTTTTTTTTTTTTTTAAATTATGTAATTTCATTTATTTGAAGTGTCCAGAATAGGAAATCTATAGATATAAAATTTACCATAATGATTTCTGGGGCTGGAGTCGATGATGGTGATTGATCAAAAAGGAGCATGAGAATTTTTCTGGGATGAAGAGAATGCTCTAAAATGATTATGGTGACAGGTAATGGTTGAACAGTATGTCTGCTAAATTCATCCTATCTGTCATAATCAGTGTTTTACCCCTTGAACACTAAGCAGTATCTAGCACATGATATTTAGTAAGAATTTGTTGGGCTAGCTCCATGGTGAAGCAGTAATGCACTTCTCAGAGGAAGCTGCATTCCACATGGCAACTACCTTTCAAATCCCTGGCCTGGTCAGTCTGAAATATACCAGTGTGTGTGCAGATGCCCAAGACATGACAGTCTATAGAACTGGGTAAAGGGGATTGAAGTATGACCAGATCCCGTGGAGGGTGCTTTTTCTCTGTCTCTCACTGTCATATGTGCTCCTGTGCATTATCAACAATAAAGAAAAAAATTTAATTATTTAATTTAATTTATTTTAATTTGATCAGAAAGGGACAGAGTGATAGAGAGAGAAAGAAAATGAGAAAGCAAGCCACCAGGTCTGGGACTTGAACCATGGCTGGCAATGAGGGAGTCCAGCACCCTTAACTACCATGCCACCTGCCAGCCCCCCAAATTTTTTTAATTGTTGAGGGGCTTGATAGTGGTGCAGTGTTAAAACACAATGCTCCATGAGGCTTTTGCGCATGAGAGAGTTCTGGGCTTGTGACCAGAGACCTTCCTAAGTATGCTAGGGACACACGGTCAGGACCTGGCTAAGGCTGAAGCTGGGCTGCAGCATTGAGACCCCACTGGGTAACTCACCCTTTTCCTTTCATTGTACATTCATACCAAGCACTTACAATGTGCGAAGTACTGTTCTAGGTAGTGGTTCCTATACTTTGAATGTTCATCCCCTTCAAAACTCATGTTGAAATTTAATTGCTGTTGTAATTGTGTTAAAAGGTGGGGCATTTAAGAGATGATGAGGCCATTAGGTTAAAGCTTACATAAAATTGTATTATTATACATTATATTAGATATATGTGTAAAATATATTATATATTATATTTAAACATTAAAGTTTTATGTGCAGGGACCAGCAGTTGGCATGATGGCTATGTTGCTGGACTTCCATGTAGTTGACTGTGGTTCGAGTCCCAGACCCGGTGGCTTAAACTCATGCCTGGCATGGGTGCGTGCATGCCCAAGATCCCAAGAAGAGAATGGAGGAGAAGGGATTGCGGTGTGGCCATCCCCCCGGGGGGGTGATTTCTCGCTTTCTCTCTGTCTCTCTCTGTCTTTCTGGAGAGTGCATGTGCCCTATAGCAAAAACTCTTCAAAAAAAAAAGTTTTATGGGCATATATCCACATGATTTGTGGGGATAAGCAAGGAATAGAAATTAATTATGTCTTATGGTACACAAAATATCTTCTTAGAACACAGTACTTTATCCTGGCCTGGTCAGTCTGAAACATACCAGGTGTATGTGCAAATGGAAGTAAAATCAGCATTTTCCAGAGGAAGATGGAAGGAAGTTTCCAGATCTAGAGAAGAACCGCAATATGGGATGACATTTCAGGGGAGACCAGCACTTGTAATGAAGGAGATGGGTTTTCAGGACATGACACCTATCACCAGATTGCAAAGGAATTGGGTTTGAGGTTCAGGTTTTCAGTTTCAATTTCAGACCTGATAGACTTTGACAAATGTCATATGGAATGTCAATAATGATCTTGAGGTTAGGCCGTAAAAGAACTGCTAGTCCCTTCCCTTTATCTCAACAAGAAAAGCAATGGTGAGTTTTTGCATGATAGCTGTTTTTTTAATTATCTTTGTTTTATCCACTCAGATTTGGTTTCAAAATCGAAGATCTAGATTACATGTCCAGAGAAAAAGGGAACTTGAGTCCTTAGAACAAAGCGAGAGACAAGATCTCTGAGAGTTTGCGGTAACCAGACTGTTCCCACTTTGATTCACAAGAGGAGCCTCCTGGATGGCAAGTGCTTTTTCATAGTGGAGTTGACTGCTCCTCTTGGGAGGTGGAAGCCAAGTCCATTCAACTACCTTAGCAGGCTCTATAGAATCAGGAGATTGTTGGAACCATCGCCACCGTCCACCCAGAACCCTTTTTCATCTTACAAAGTTGAAACTATGCACCAATCATTACCTCCTCATTCATCCTTTCCCCCAGCTGGAAACCATTCCACTCTCCATCCCTATGAATTTGATTACTGTAGGTACCCCAAATAAGGGGACTTATACTATACTCGTCTTTCTGTGACAGGCTGATCTCACTGGGCATAATGTCCTTAAGGCTTATCGGTGATGTAGCACGTGTCAGACTTTCCTTTCTTCTTAAGACTGAGTAATATTGCACTGTATGTGAAAAGGTTAAAAGTCTCACAAGTGCTGGAAGTATTGGAAAGGGTTAACTCAGTGTCTCCGTGTCTCTGGGTTGACCCCGTGTTACACAGGGAGGCTCATTAAAACTCCCAGGTACTTCAGACAATCTTTATCCTCCTGCCCCTTTCTCCCCATGCTTGACCTCACCACAGATGGCCAGCTTGTTTTCCTGTTTCAACCTATAGACCTGGATACTGAAACCATGTCTTGCTGATGTTAGAACATCAGCAGTCTACCTAATATAAGGCGGATCAAAGTGGTCAGATAGGTCAACTGGAGATTGTAAAAGAGCAACAGACATCCTGTTCAAGAGTCACCCTAATTATCCAATCACAGCCTCTCCTTGCTTCCTTAAGTCCCAGTAGAAGCTCCTGGCTCCCACCCTTCAGGGCCGATGTAACTCTCTATATCCAGGCCTTTTCCTCCCTTTTGAAAATGAATAAATTCTTTTCTGCTTTCTCTCTGAGTTTGTGAATTCTTTCACAGCCCATAACCAAGGCCACCCTAACATTGACGAGATCCCCTAAAGTATGAATTTATAATATATAGTATATTTTTATATAATACAGTCCTGAACTGTAACCAGTTAAATTTTGTTTTTGTCCTGTTTCTGGTTGTTTTTTTTTTTTTTTTTTGTCCTGTTTCTGTTTTGTCCATCAGTTCTGATCACAGCAGGCAGGAACTTGCTGAATCGGTTCTGGTTCTGAGAGCTTCCAGATTTGCAAATAAATTTGATAGGTTGGCACTTGCTTAAGGTATTTCTTTCCTCCACTTCGAGGATGGCTCATAGGAAGCTGTCAGCCTTAACCTGCAGAATACACACCTCGGATTCTCCAGTTCATGACATGCATGGTCCAGGCTGCATCATCCGGTTATTCAATGAACATCTACAGTACGGTCGGTGTGACTTCCTTAATTTTAGATTCGGCATTGAAGAAAGAGGAGTCTTACTCCCAATGAACCTATACACTGTTGGGTAAAGATAGATAATAAACAGATGTTAAATCACAATTTACTGAGGGAGGGAAATGAAGGTGAATTTATTTCTTGCTTGGGCAACAGGGATCTGTAAGTAGAAAAACAGAGGCAGAATTTACATAGGGTTGTTGGAGAATATAGACACACAAAAAAAGGCTTTTAAAAAATTTAATAGGGAGATTTTTGCTATGAGGTGCATGTGCTCACCAGAGAGATAAAAATCAGATCATGTGACTCTAAATTCCAGATGGAATTTCTCTGCAGACTCTAAGACCATTGATTGAAGAAATCTTCTCCATTAGCATTAATCCCTCATCTTAATGCTTCTGAAAGATGATAAAGCAATTTTCCCACAGTAGCTCTTGCCTTGCCCCAATTTAAAAAGGGGAGCGGGTATGATGTCAAACATCCTTTTCATTTTACTTCCCAGTCATGGCCAATTTGTAGAGTAAGGCTGTAGTTTCTTTCTTCTCTTTTTCTTTCTTTCTTCTTTTCTTTTTAAGAGAGTTTTTGGCTATAGGGTGCATGTGCTAACTGGAGAGACAGAAAATGAGAAGTCATTCCCTGGGAGAGATGACCATGCTGCAATCCCTTCTCCTTTCTCCTTTTGGGATCTTGGGCATGCATGCACACGTGCTCAGCATGAGTTTTAAGCTGCCAGGTCTGGGACTTGAACCGTGGTCAACTACATGGGAGTCCAACAATGTAACCATTACACCATCTGCTAGTCCTGTGTTGGGTCATTTTCTGAATAACCATTTTTGGATGTGTCTAGGAGAAGGTCTGGCCAGTTGCAGACTAGCCCACATCTGGCCTAATCCTTCAGGATTCAGCTGGGTGCTCAGTTTTAGAAAGTCGCAATTCTATAGATGAGGGTCTGGCAGCAAGTCTTTAAACTCCAAACCCAGAGTAGGGTGGGACCTAACTGGCAAACTGGCTTCATGTTGAGAGTATCAGGGCAGCTGGTGAGTTCTGGAGCATGAACACTGCTTTAACGGCTGGGCTCTTCAAGGCTCTGTTCTACTTCTGTTGGTTCAATTTTTTTTTTCCCCAATAAGGCTTGTGCACTCACCAGAAAGACAGAGAGACATGTGAAAGAGCATTCAGTGAGAAGTGGAGGCTGAACAAACACCAGAAAACACACACAGAGGGAAAACTGTACAAGTGTGAGAAGTGTGGAAAAGCCTATAAGCAGAAGCCAAATCTCATTCAACACCAGAAAAACCCTATACATGTAAGATATGTGGGAAAGCCTTTTCCTGGAAATCAACCCACATTAATCATGAGAAAATTCATAATGCTAAGAAAGCCTATGAGTGTAATGCATGTGGGAAATTCTTCAAGCAGAATTCAACTCTCAATCAACATAAAAAAGTTCACACTGGACACAAGCCTTATAGATGTAATGACTGTGCAAAAGCTTTCATTTACAAATCAGATCTTGTGAAACACCGAGAACACACACAGGAGAGAAACCCTATAAATGTAGCCTATGTGAGAAGGTCTTCTCCCAGAAATCAAATGTGACTGATCATGAGAAAATTCATGCTGGGGAGAGAGTGTATGAGTGTAACCAATGTAGCAAAAACTTTATCCAGAAGAAAAACCTCATTCAACATTAAAAAGTCCATACTGGAAAAAAATCTTATGAGTGTAATAGATATGGGAAAGCTTTCTTTCGGAAACCAAACTTTTATATACATCAGAAAATTCACAGTGGAGAGAGGGCTTTTGGATGTAATGAATGTGGAAAATCCTTCAGTCAGAAGCAAGATCTCAGTTTGCATGAGAAAACCCACACTGGACAAAAACCTTATGAATGTTCTGAATTTGAGAAAGTATTTGCTGACAAATTGTATTTTGTTAGACACTAGAAAAGAATTCACAGCAGATAGAAAACCCCTGTACTTAAACAGATATGGGACTACCTTCACTGATAGGGCAGCCTGGAATTGTTGCCCAGGAATTCAGGAAATGGCCTGCAGTTTGAGACTGTCTCCCAGGGCAGTGAGGACTTACTATGTGAGGTATCCTTGGAAGGCTGGTTTGGCCTATTCATTCAGCAGATGATAATATTTTGTAAACCATGAACTCTTTCAGACATGTAGTAGTAAGTCAAACTCTTTCAAAGATGTAGTAATAAACCAAATGTGCCCCCAAACTCTCATGGAATTTTATCCTAGTGAATAACAGCCAGGAGTACCTATTCTTTTAAAAACCTAAATACGTAATAAAAATACTTACCTCCTTTCACTAATTGGGGGGGAGATAAACATAAGAAAATGATATAAAAACATAATGTTGCATCAATAACACGTTCCAGGAGAGAGCAGGTCATCTGGCTTCTGAGCGGTTACTCCATATTCCCAAGGACAAAAGAGAGAGTTAAAAATGGGTGATGTTGAGAAAGGCAAGATTTTCGTTCAGAAGTGTGCCCAGTGCCACACCGTGGAAAAGGGAGGCAAACACAAGACTGGCCCAAATATCCATGGTATATTTGGGCAGAAGACAGGTCAGACCCCTGGATTCTCTTACACAGATGCCAAGAAGAACAAAGCCATTACCTGGGGAAAGGATACTGTGATGGAGTATTTGGAGAATCCCAGAAAGTACATCCCTGGAACAAAAATGATCTTCACTGGCATTAAAAAGAAGTCCTAAAATGGTACCAGCAGTTAGCATAATGGCTATGTCGCTGGACTCCCATCTAGTCGACCGTGGTTTGAGTCCTGGACCTGGTGGCTTAAACTCACGCCAGGCATGTGTGTGTGCGTGCCCAAGATCCCGAGAGGAGAATGGAGGAGAAGGGATTGTGGCATGGCCATCCCCCCTTGGGGGTGATTTCTCGCTTTCTATCTGTCTCTGTCTGTCTGGCGAGCACACACACCCTATAGCAAAAACCTCAAAAAAAACAAAATGGATTATAATTGAACGTAAGATCTGATACAATAAAAACTAGAAGGAAAAACAAAGGGGAAGAAAACAAAAACCCTCTTTGCTATCGGCCTTGACAATGATTTTTGAATGTGACACCAGAAGCTCACAAAAGAAAAGCAAAAATATATGAGTGGGATAGCTTCAAACTAAAATACTTCTGCATAGCAAAGGAAATGATTAACAAAATGAAAAGGCAACTTATAGGTTGGTAGAAAATATTTGCTAAAATATATCTTTTAAGGGGTCAAAACTCAAAACATCTCAGGAATTTCTACAACTCAATTCAATGAAATAAATGGTTCAGTTTAAAAAATAGTCAACAGACATTTTTCTAAAGAAGATTTATAGATGACCAGCAGGTTTATAAAAAAAGTTCTCAATAATATTAATTATTAGGGAAATGCAAACCAAAACCCCAAAGAGATATCACCTCACACATGCTAGAAAGGCTAAAATAAAAAAGGCAGACCAGCAGGTGGCATGGTGATTGAGGTATTGGATCCCACATGGCCAAACCTGTGGTTTGAGACGTGGACCTGGTGGCTTGAAAGCACACTGAGCATGTGTGTATACATGCCCAAAATCTTGAGAGAAGAATGGAAGATTTCAGTGTGGTCCTCCCACTGGAGTATCTTTACTCACTTTTACTCTCTTAATGTCTCTCTCTGGTGAACTCATGCATCCTATATCAAAAGTCTAAAAAAACAAAGAAACAAAAGAAAGAATAAAAAAGATAACAAGTGTTAGTGAAGAAGCAGAGAAAAGAGAATACTTATACACAGTTGGTGGGAATATAAATTGGTATAGCCACTATGGAAAACAGTATTGGGGGTTCACAAAATATTAAAAATAGAACTATCATATGGTACAGCAATACTACTACTGGATATGTATTTATAGAAATTAAAATCATTATCTCAAAGAGGTATCTGCATTTTCATGTTCACTGCACCATAATTAATCATTGCCAAGCTATAGAAGCTAAATGTCTGTTAACAGATAAGTACATAAAGAAAATGTGGCCAGGGACAATGGGGGAGGAAGATGGGACATAGCAGAGGGTGGGGGATGGGGAATCAGGGATGGCAAGACAAAGGGCAAGGTATGCAGGACGTAAGAATTGGAAAATTATTTGCTGAGAACATGTATGTGGATGTGCTTGATTGAGCCAATGCACAGTGTATTTTGGATGGAAAATTCATTTGTGTGTTGTGATGGTGTAAAGTGAATTAATAAAAAAAAAATACTCAGGAAAAAAAAAAAGCTACTAATGAATAGAAATAGGTGGCCACTGCCTCATTTATGATGAAACAGAAATGTCTCACCTTTTTTATGTGTATCATATTTTAATTGATCTTCTACACCAGAACTCAGATCATGAATGGCTGACAGGATATTTTTGTTGGACAATCCTGATTTAAGTAAGACTGGCTTGTGGTTAAATTAACATTAAAATTTTTTTTTTCTTTTTCTTTTTTTGGAGGTTTTTGCTATAGGGCACATGCACTCGCCAGACAGAGAGAGACAGAGAGACAGAAAGCAGGAAATCACCCCCAGGGGGGATGGCCACACCACAATCCCTTCTCCTCCATTCACCTCTCGGGATCTTGGGCATGCATGCACACACGCCCGGCGTGAGTTTAAGCCTCCGGGTCCGGGACTCGAACCGCGGTCGACTATGTGGGAGTCCAGCAACATAGCCATTATGCTAACTGCTGGTCCCTAAAAAAGTTTTTTATAGTAATTTCAGTTCAGTAAGTGCTATCACTATTTGTTCTTTCTAAAGATATAATTGGTAATTCATTTTTTTTTTGGAGAGGTTTTTGCTATAGGGCATGTGCGCTTGCCAGACAGAGAGAGACAGAGAGACAGAAAGTGAGAAATCACCCCCCAGGGGGGATGACCACGCCACAATCCCTTCTCCATTTTTGTCTCGCGATCTTGGGCATGCACGCACATGCGCCTGGCGTGAGTTTAAGCCACTGGGTCCAGGACTCGAACTGCAGTCGACTATGTGGGAGTCCAGCGACCCAGCCATTACACTAACTGCTGGTCCCTAATTGGTAATTCATTAGTGATGCTCATCTTTGTACAAAGATGGTGAATGCCATCTCAAAGCCTACTGGAGATTGGTTTTATTTAGGCTTATATGTAACTTGTTATATGAATATATAAATGCTGGTGAAATCCCTTTACTTCTCAAAACTAAGCAGACTCACCTGTGTTTTAATTTGTGTTTATTAACCTGTTAAGGCAAAAGCTGAATATAAGGTAGTGATGTCTACTTTATATATTTGGTCATAGCTCTACCAATTTAATTAGAAGTCCCTATATCCAAAACATTGCCTTTTACTTACTGAAAGACATTTTAGTGTGGTTTATGTATACTATAAAATAAAGAATATGTAACACTTTACATATTTATAAATAATTTGTAAGTTCAGATGCTTTTAAAAGTCAGTGTGACAAGACTTAGTAGCATGTTAAATTATACCTTTGAATTCTATTATCTCAGTCAGACTAAGTTATATTTCAGCATGGTTAGACAACTGTTCAAAATCACATAGAAACGGAAGAACTACTGAATGTGTGATTGGTAATGGTGATTTTGCCAATTTATTAGAAGGATTAAAGTAAAGGAGATATCCCATCAGCGTAGATTTGTAAATTATGCCATCATAAGACTTAAGATAATTAAAAACCAAATGACAGATCAAAAAATAACACGTGCCAGGTTGTTTATATATTTCATTTGGGAACATTTTCTACTCTGCATCATTTTATCCCATGTCTCATCGTAAGATTTTTCTTATTTCTTTGTACCCACGAAAATCCTCAACTTTCACACCTTTATTACCAGGCTCCGCTGGTAGTGGTGGGTACTTTAGAGGTGGTTTAAGCCTTGGCCATGAGGTTATATTCCACATTTATGAGGATGGGTAGATAGCCATTTATGTGAATGAGGAAGCAAGATGTTACAATGTTCAAAATCGCCCTCATACTTTTTTTTTTTTTTTTAGTATAGTACACATGCACTAGTGAGAGAGAGAAATCACCCTCTAGGGAAGATGGCCACACCGCAAAACCTCCTCCTCCATTCTCCTCTTGAAATTTTTGGTATGTACACACATATGCTTGTCAATCTTCAAGCTGCCAGGTCCAGGACTCAAACCATGTGCTGTCAGCCATGTGGGATCTAGCTGTTTTAACATCCATGCCACCTGCTAGGCTCCCTCATATAAGTTTTTTAAGAGAATTATTTAATTTGTATCATTATTATCATTATTATTTAATTTGACCAGGCAGAGACAAGAGCGAGAGAGGGAAAGTGAGAAAGCAAGCTGCCATGTCCAGGACTTGAACCATCGTCAGCCATATGGGAGTCCAGCATCTTAGCCACTGTGCCATCTACTGGCCTCCCATATCATTTAAAAATATACTGCACTTTTCATATAACCCTAATGTTATGTTCTGAAATACCTGGAAAGATGTGCAGATACAGCTAGCTGCTTGCTAGGTAGCAGATTTTGCCCATAACCAGCCACAAACACATGTGGAAGCCAGCTAATGGTACATTGGTTGGATTTTTCCCTAAATAAGTTGATAAAAAAAAATAGTATCCATCAATTCAAGGAGCCCCCCAAAAAGGTAATTAAAGTTATTTATATAATAAAAAATGCATACATACAGTAGCAAAACACAGCAGTATACACACTAGTACAGTGGTTCTGAAACTTTCAGGAACATCAGAATCTCCATTGGATGGCTGGGTCATGCTTCCAGTTTCTAAATCATTTGGTCTAGAGTGGGACCCAATAATTGGCACTTCTAATTAGTCCCTCACTACTGCTGCTGCTCATCCAGGAGCGTTTAGAAAACCACTGTGTTTTCTGAATGATGAAAAACATCATTCGAATCTTTTTTTAAAAATTATTTTGGAGAGGTTTTTGCTATAGGG